AGCAGAAGGAGAGTTTGTGATGAGAGGATATTTCACTTAGAGGAAGTAAAAATTGTCTTATTAAAATCTCTGCAGAATGGTGAAGATGGAATTATGAGCGAGCCTCCCCCAAGGTAACCCAAACCCCATGAGTTGTCCAGAAAATCTCGGGAGGATGGGCTGAAGGTGACCCATGAACTGCCAGGGGGGTCCACCTGCCAATGACTGAGACTCCCCAGCCATGGTCCTCACTAGCCTCAAGAGGGAATCCAGTCTGGATGGTTTCTGGGTGAAGTGCCCTGAGATGTCACAGAAACAGCTCCCTCCCCTGCCGCCCTGGAGCAGGGACTTGAGTCTGGGGACCCGGGCTGTACCTGCTCACAGAATCCCAGAATGTTACAACTCTCAAGTCATGCCACCCAGCCTTCCCATTGACAGGGACGGAACTAGGGTGGAGTGCCTTGGCTAAGGTCACCCGGGGAGGTGATGCCAAGATGGGGGCTTTCTGCCTCCAATACCGTTTCTCCTTCAGTCACACCCAGAGTTGGAAGAGGCCTCGGTGGTCTCTAAAAGTAGATCTGGAAGAGACCTTGGGGACCACCAAGTCCGTTTTACAGATGAGCAAACCGAGGCTCAAAGATTTTCCGTGACTTGCCCAAGGTCGACCCAGGTAGCAAGCAGCAGTCAAAATTAGACTTCCAACTCAAACCCAGCGCTCTTGGCATCTCATACCACAAACCTGACAAAGAATCCCCTCTGCAACCCACCGGTCAATTGGCCATCAGCCTTTGTTTACAGACCCCCTGGAGAGAGAGCCAGCTTCCTCCGGGATCATTCCTTAACTCAAGCAGCTGAGACTGAGCTCTCATTATTCCTGCAATGTCCAGGCGCCCCTGTCCTTGGCCCTTGCCTGTCATTGTCCACATCTCTGCCTCATGCCCTGGCTCCCTATCTACCCTCCTCCAAGGGCCACCATCTGCAGCCAGCCCAGCACCCCCCAGTCTGTTGGCATAAGGCTGCTGTCATTAAGGCAGAATTTGCCTTCTGTTGATCTTTGGTCATTTGCATGGCCTGTCCCCCACCCTGTACCACGGAGAGGGAGGGAGAGTGTCAGCCTGCTGCACCATATTCCTCCTAGTGAGAGGAAGAGGCTCCAGGTCCACCTTGGCAGAAGGAGGGGTTCTGAGCAGCTCAGCGTCTCTGGGCCTCAGTTTCCCCATCTATAAAATGAAAGGGGTTGGTCTAGATTAGGGGTTCTTAACCTGGGGTCTGTCAACTTCTTTTAAACTTAAACATTTTTTTGATAACTATTTCAATATAATTCGTTTCCTTTGTAATCCTATGTATTTCATTTTATGTATTTAAAAACATGATTCTGAGTTGGGTCCTTAGGGATCCAGCCTCTCTGAGGGGTCTAGGGTACAAAAACAGCTAAGAAGTCCTGATTTCCTGGAGGGCCTCTAAGGCCCAGTGGATCTGGGTTCTCCTCAACCCCTCCCTCCATTAAGGCAGATGGCAAGTCATTCACGCTAGCCCCTCTCAGGTGATGCCTATCAGTATCCAGTGACCAGGGGGGCTTTCTCAAGTTCTCCTGCTGAGTAGGTGCCAAGAGAACATATGGGCTAGCCCTATTTCTTCCAAGCATGTATTCCTCCAGCAACTTTCTTTATGAAGCTTCTTCTGTGTCATCCCTCCACCCCCATTCCTTTCTTCATCTTCATTTGGGAGATCCTTAACTCCACTTCCTTTCAATTCAGCAAACAATTCTGAAGCACATTGCTATGTTCCAGGCACTACACTAGGTCCCGAGGATCCAAAGTCAGAAGTGAAACAGTCTCTGCCTTCTCAGAGCTTACAATCTACCAGGGAGATTTAATTAACCACTCACTCCCCACGCGACCTCAGCAATCACTGAACCCCACCTGAGTTTCAGGCATGGCTGGCACAGGTGGAAAGATAACCAGCTCTGGAGTCATAGGTCCTGCGTTCAAATCATGCCTTTGACACTGATTACCAGTGTGACCATGGGCAAATACCCTCACTTTTCTGGTCCTCAGTTTCTTCTTCTGTAAAATATAGGAACTGGACTCGTTAACTTCTGAGATCTCCTGCAGCTAAATTTATGATCCTATATATACAAATCAATGGGCAGCTAGGTGCCATAATGGGCAGAGAGCCAGGTGAATTCAAATCTGGCCTCAGACACTTCCTAGCTGTGAGACCCTGGCAAGTCACTTCACCCTGTTTGCCTCAGTTTCCTCATCTGTAAAATGAACTGGAAAAGGAAATGGCAAACCACTCCAGTATCTCCACCAAGAAAACCCCAAATGGGGTCACAAAGAGTTGGGCAAGACTGAAATGACTGAACAAGAAAGTACATAAGTCAATAGAGAATTCACAAGTCTCCTGCCTACAGGTCCAGAATTGTCTCTGGTCAGCTAATGTGGTTCAGGATTTGTGGTCCCGTAGCTGCGTCCATTGGGAGAGTCCACTGAGGGAGGCCCTAATGCTGAGGCCGGTTAGGCAGTCTGGGCTGAGAGAGTGTGCAAATTTGTCCATTGATGGGGCTATGTAAAGCAACTTTATTAAAATCCTCCCTGGCTCCACTGCTACCCGCCCCCCCCGGCCAATTTGCCTAGTGGCTCCTGAACCAGTGAGCAGGGAGGGAGAGGGTTTTGCTAACCAAATGTCCAGGCCTTCTGCTCCCCAACCCCCCAGCTCCAGGTCATGTCTATTTAGGGTGTCAGTCTGCCCTCCCTTCTGCTGTGGACAAAAGCTGCCCATACCCTGCCTCTGCGATGTGGGGTTTCTTGCACTGCCTGGGCCTGAGCCTGGGTCTGGCCTGCTCCACTGCCCAGGCCAAGCTGTGCCTCTCCAGGCAGCTCAAGCTGAATGGGGACTACATCCTGGGGGGCCTCTTCCCCTTTGGAATCAAAGAAGATGGAGTCCTGGAGAGGACCCAGCCAAAGGGGGTGCTCTGTACCAAGTATGCGGGGACAGGCTGAGATGGTGGGAGGGAGGATGTGCCGGGTAAAAGGGGGGCTGGTGAAAGTGGGGAGACCAGAAATCTGTGCACCAGACAAGGGGAAAAGCCTAAGGGAGGCCATAACAGGAAAATGGGGGAGCCCCAGAGAATCCATTCCAGGTAAGGGAAGGAGCCCCCCAGGGTCTGTATGGCAAGTAAAGGGGGAAGCCTAAATACCAGGTAAGGGGGGGGGAGGAAATCCCAAAAGGTCTTTGTGACAGGTAAATGGAGAGAACTCCTAAGTGGGGAAGGACTGGGGGTCTGTGAGACAGAGAAGAGGACGAGCCCCAGGGAATGTGGAGCAGGTAAAGGGGGAAGGCTGTCAGGGAAGGGGGGACCCAGAGGGTATCTGCAGGGTAAGAGCAGGGGCTTCTATGCATCAGGTAAGAGGGATGGCAGAAGTTCCCAGGTAGAGCAGCCAGGAGTCCAGGTGCCAGGTAAAGCAGTAAGCCCAGGTAAGGAGGGTACCAGTTCAGGTATGAGGCAGCCCAGAGAGTCTGGGAGCCAGATAAGGAAGGCAGGAGATCTGAGTGCCAGATACACAGCCCTAGAACATCCTAGACAGCCCATTCGTTCAATGATCATTTATTAAGCACCTGATAAGCACCGAGCCATGGTAGTACAGATAGAGAGCTGGCTTTGAAGCCGGGGCGGGGGGGCTCAAGTCCCAACTCTGACATACCCGCTGTGTCACCCTGGGCAAGTCCCCTCACCTCCTCTCAATGCCCTGAGGCATCTCTCCGCTAAGACCTGAGCTGCCTAGATTCTTCTGATTTCTGTCAGCTAAGGAAGTGCCCTACCAGATACAGTCACTAATCTGTGCCCCCCGCCCACATACACATACAAAAAGTGCTAGGCAGGAGACAGGAAGACAGGCACCCTCCCCCCACCCCAACCTTCCCTGTTACTGGAGAGGGCAGCACTCTCCTCCCATCCTCCAGGCTCCCAACCCAGGGCTCATCCGGGACCCCACTCTCTCTCACCCCCCACATCCAAGCTGCTGCCAAGCCCTGGAGAGTTCCCCTCTGCAGCATCTCTCCAATACGCCTCCTCCTCTCCTCTGACACTGCCCCCACCCTGGTGCAGACCCTCATCCCCTCACACCTGGACTATTGCAATAGCTGTCTGTCTGCCTCAGCTCGCTCCCCACTCCACCCCATCCTCCATTCAGCCACCAAAGGAATTGTCCTAAAGGGCAGATCCGACCACGTCACCCCCTACTCAATAAACCCCAGTGGCTCCCTACTGCCTCCAGGAGCAAATACAAAGTGCTCCGTCAGACATTCCAAGCCCTTCATACCCTGCCCCTTCCTCCCTTTCCAGTCTTCTTTACGCCTTACTCCCCATGTGTGTGCTCTTCCATCGAGTGCTGCTGGCCCTCTGCCCGTTCCATCTCCCGCCTCCAGGCATTGTCCCTGGGCATTGTCCCCCGTGGCTGGAACACTCTCCCTCCTCATCTCCACCTCCTGGCTGCCCTGACTTCTCAAGTCCCAACCAAATTCCCACCTTCTGCAGGAAGCCTTTCCCAATCATGCCCTCGTGATTCTGCACCTTCCCTTGGCTGATTATTTCCTCTGTCTCCTGTATTTAGCTTGTTAGCACGTGTGTGTTTGAATGTTGTCTCCCCCTTTAGGTTATGAGCTCCTTATGGGCAGGGACTGTTTCTTGCTTTTCTTTGTATCTCCGGAGCTTAGCACAGGGCCTGGCACATAGTAGGTGCTTTAAAAAATCTATTTATTAACTGACAAACATTCTCTGACCTAAAGGAACTTGAGGTGGGGGGTGGGGGTAGAAGGGGTTCCAGGGCATCTCTGTACCTGGTAAGGGCAGAGATCCCCAGGGCATCTGCATGCTAAATAAGAGGGCAGCCCTAGGAGCTGTGTGCTGCATTAATGGGGAGCAAGGTCAGGGCCATGGGGGAACCCATGTGATTTCCCAAGACTGGAGCCCTGGGAGAGGTATCCTGGGACTCAGGACGAGGCCTCCTCCAATGCAGGTTCTCAGCAATGGGGCTGCTGTGGGCGTTGGCCATGAAGATGGCCATTGAAGAGATCAACAACTCGTCAGCACTGCTGCCTGGCATCCACCTAGGCTATGACCTCTATGACACGTGCACCCTGCCCATGGTGACCATGAAGCCCAGCCTCCTGTTTATGTCACAAATTGGGAGCCGGGACATCGGTGCCTACTGCAACTACACCCGGTACTGGCCCCGCGTGGTGGCAGTCATCGGCCCCCACTCCTCCGAGCTTGCCCTCATGACAGGCAAGCTCTTTGGTTTCTTCCTGATGCCCCAGGTACCAGAAGCCCAGGAGGGAGGGCTGGGCTGCTGACCCTTAAGTTCCTTCCCCAGCTCCTTGCAGACCCAAACCTGCTCTTAGGTATGGATCACCCCTCTGTCCTCTGCAATGGAACACCATGGTGGGGGCCATGAGAAATAGCCCTCTTGGACTTGGGAACAAAACACAGGCTTGGCATCAGGCATCAGCTTTGCCCTCCTGAGCTTGTGTGGCTTGAATGTTGAGACCTAACTAAGCGGGGCAGAGGGCATAGCTGGGAAACAGCCTGGGGTTTATACAGGTTGAGACACCCACCTCCCGTCAGTGAACAGTAGCCTTCATTTCCTTCACTGAGCTCTTGTCCCTGACCCCACTCAGAAAATTTCCATGTCCTCATTGTGCCCCCATCCTCCTCCCCTCACTGAGACCCCTGTCCCCACTTGCTGAGCCCAGGCCCTCACTGAGGCTCCCCACCTCCTCCCTGAGAGTTTCATCCCCCCAGTGGACCTCCACTCTCCTAAAGGGCCCTGGCTGAGGGACATCAGGCACCCTCCCAGCACAGCCTTTCTTCCTATAGGTCAGCTACGGGGCCAGCAGTGACCGGCTGAGCAACCGTGAATTGTTCCCATCATTCTTTCGGACCATCCCTAGTGACCGGGTGCAGCTACAGGCCATAGTGGACCTGCTGAGTCTGTTTAACTGGAATTGGGTGGCAGCTGTGGGCAGTGATGATGAGTATGGGCGCCAGGGCCTCAGCATCTTCTCCACCCTCGCCAACAACCGGAGCATCTGCATCGCCCACGAAGGCACCCTGCCGCTGCCCAGGGTCCAGGAATCCCGGGATCTGGGCAAGGTGGAGTCTATCCTGCGGCAGATTAACCAGAGTATCGTCCAGGTAGTGGTCCTGTTCTCCTCCGAGGCAGCTGCCCGCAACCTCTTCCAGTACTGCATCCAAACCAATGTGTCACCCAAGGTGTGGGTGGCCAGTGAGGCCTGGTTGGCGTCTGAGCAGGTCATCAGACTGCCTGGCATCCAAGGGGTGGGCACCATCCTGGGATTCCTCCTGCAGAGTTCTCCATTGCCCGAATTCAGTGACTATGTTAACCAGTGCCTGACCCAGGCTGCCAACCAGACCTTCTGTAACACCCTGGGAGAGGCCCCGCCGCAATCCGACGATGACGTGGTGGGGCCACAGTGTCCACAGTGTGATGACATCAGCCACAAGGACATCGCATCTGGACTGGACCATTACCAGCCTTTTTCTGTCTATGCTGCCGTGTATAGTGTGGCTCACGCTCTCCACCTCTCCCTGGGCTGCAATGCCTCTGGATGCCCCTCTCAGAACCGCACTCGGCCCTGGGAGGTAAGGAAGGCTGGTGAGATGCCACCACCTATGTGCCCAGTAGGGGATGGAGAGGGACAAAAAGTCAAGTCTTCTCAAGCAGCTTGAGTTCTCCTGGGAAAGACAGCGTGAATATACAAAAGAAATACAAAGTCCTTGGGAGGAGAGAGGCTCTGGCAGCTGGTGGGGATCAGCAAGACTTCCTGCAGAAGTTTTGAAGGAAACTGAGGGTTCTAGAAAGTGGAGATAAGGAGAGAAGGCACATTAGGCATAGGGAATGGCCTTTGCAAAGGGCCAGAGGCCAGAGATGTAATGTCATGTCCAAGAGGCAGCAAAGGCGGCCAGTTTGGCTGGAATGTCCAGAGTGTAAAGGGGAGCCCTGTGTCATGAGGTTGGGAAGGTAGGTGGGGGGCAAGTGAAGGAAGAGTATCCAGCGGGTGTCTAATATTTGATCTCTGTGGTGTTAGGGAGCCACTGGATTTTTTGGACAGGAAGTGATATGGCCAGACCTCCATGTCAGAAAGATCACTTTGGCAACTGAGCAGAGGATGGATTGGAGAGGGAAGAAGCAAGAGGCAGGGAGGCCAGATAACAAGGCCATCACCCTGGTCCAGGCGAGAGGTGATCAGGGCCGGGAGGAAGGTAGGGGTCATGCAAAGGGACGGAGGCAAGAGATGCCTCGGATGCAGAAATGGCAAGAATAAACCATCGTGCATAATCAATAAATAATCTGTATCCAAGGGGTGTGGCAAAGTGATTAGGGGGCGTGATATGGATGATGATGAGCTAGCAAAAAAGACTGAGGAGAGGTAGAGAAGTAGGAGGAGAAGCCAGAAAGGAGTGGCCAAAAAACCCAGAGGAGGGAATATTCAGGAGGAGAGGGTGATGAATGGAGTCCGATGTAGCAGAGAGGTCAAGAAGAGAGGACAGAGGAAAGACCATTGGAACTAGCACTTTAAAGACCCCTGGTAACTTTGGGAAGAGCGGTTTCAGTTGGATAAAGAAGCAAGTTAAGGAGTGAGAGAAAGGAGAAGAAATGAAGGCAGTAAGTGTAGTTTTTTCAAGAAGTCTAGCTAAGAAAAAGAAAAGAGATATTAGACAAATAATGATGGCGGTGATGGTGGTAAAATGCCACTGGATTTGGTATCTCCTTGATGTCTGCATTCCCTCCAAGAGTACAGACAAGCAGCCCCTTCGTGTCTCTTCATGGGGCTCCTTGGGCAAAGAGTTCATCTTCAAGTGGTCAGCCTCTTGGAGATGAGGACAGGTGATGAGGCTCTCCATATTCAGGGGGCTGGTCCTCAGGAAGCAGATTGAGTCTTTTATAGGTACTGCATTCAAAGCTTTGTTGGGATGATAAAACCTGCCAGGATTTGCATTCTGCTGGGATAGCCTGTGAAACCCAGGGTCACATTCAAGCTATGATGAGGCATCAGAGTAGTATTATAGGAGCAGAGATTTGAGCTGAAAGGGTCCTACCCTCTCAGGTTACAGATAGGGAAATAGAGTCTCAGAGCTCCACAACTTGACCACATTCCCTTGAGGGGAAGAATCTGAAAATAAAGCTACATCCTTTGGTTCCTTTTCACTGCAAAGTCCACGTTCTTGGGCTCTAATCCACATTCTTCTCCTGACTACTTTTGAGTATCACATCCCTGGGCCTCAGTTTCCTTCTCTGTAAAATGAGGGGGTTGGACCTGAAGGTCCCTTCTAGCTCTCCATCTCAGGTCCATAGGGTGCCTTAAAGTGTGCACTGTCTCGTTTAATGAATGACTGGTCCGTAGTAAATGCTTGATTAATGCTTTTTCATTCATTCATTCATTCATTCATTCATTCATTCATTCATTCATCAATAATGGGGAGTGACTGGAGCCCTCCTCAGCCCAGGATCCTATTACTGCCTTTCCCTCTGCCTCCACCCCCGACTTTCTCCTTTCTCCTTGACCCAGCCTGGCCTGGGCATTCTCGCTCCTTCTCCCCACAGCTCGTGAGCAAGATGTATGACCTGCGCTTCTCCGCCCGCTCACTCACCCTGCAGTTTGATAACAGTGGGAATGTGAACATGACCTATGACCTGAAGCTGTGGGTCTGGCACAGTAACACCAAGTTGGAACTCCTTACTGTGGGCTCCTTCCGAGAGGGCCTAGAGCTCAATCGCTCCCAGATCCGCTGGCATGGCCAAGGCAATGAGGTATAGGGAGCAACCGGGTGGATGGAGGGAGGGAGGGAGGGAGGGATGGAAAGAAGGAAAAAGATTCCGTGTGCAAGGCCAATCCCATCACGTGCACATGGAAATGGAAGCATGTCCTCTGGAGCAAGGCACTATGCCAAGTATTAGGAGTTTGTTGGGTTATTTTTCAGTTGTATCTGACTCTTCATGACCCCATTTGGAGTTTTCTTGGCAAAGATACTGCAGTGGTTTGCCATTTCCTTCTCCAGTTCATTTGACAGATGAGGAAACTGAGGCAAACAGGGTGAAGTGACTTGCCAGGGTCACACAGCTAGTGAGGGTCTGAGGCTGGATTTGAACTTAGGAAGATGAATGAGTCTTTCTGACTCCAGGTCCAGTGTGGCACCCCCTAGCTGTCATCATTATATGCCAGCCTATCTGTGGAGGGGTCAGGGGACAACCTGGGATCCCAGTACTAAAGATACCTCCTGGGCCTCTCTCATTGCCACCCCCTCTACCCCATGTAGCCCAGAAGTTGTCAGGGTAATTCTCTCATATCACTGATGGGGAAACTGAGACCCAGAGCCATTAAGGAGCAGACCCAAAGTGCTGACAGCTTGAGCCAAGACTCGAATCTGAAGTCCTTCTGGATCAAGGATGAAGCTGCTTCCTTTGTGGCCATGGAATGGGAAAGGGGTCCCAGGACCTTGGCAATGTCCAGGATCCAGGCTGGTTAGCTGTGCCAGGTCAATGATTTCTCCCCCTTCCCCCACTACCTTTCCCAGGAGCCCGTGTCCAGGTGTTCCCGAGAATGCGAGGAGGGCCAGGTGAGGAGGGTCAAAGGTTTCCACTCCTGCTGCTATGACTGTCTGGACTGCAAAGCCGGAACCTACAGACAGAACCGAGGTGAGCCCAGCCCCAGCCCCACCTTGGCCTCTGAGAATGAACCTACTCAGGAAATCCCCCCAAATGTGACTCAGACCCTTCTAGCACTGGCCCATGCCTTCACTGCAGCCCCTTCTGAGAAGAGATAGCACCATTTCTTTTGAATTAATTTATTAATTTATTTTGCTTTATAGTGAGGCGATTGGGGTTAAGTGACTTGCCCAGGGTCACACAGCTAGTAAGTGTCAGTTGCCTGAGGCTGGATTTGAACTCAGGTCCTCCTGACTCCAGGGCTGGTGCTCTATCCACTACGCCACCTAGCTACCCCAAGATAGTACCATTTCTAAGACTACTACAGAACTGCCCCCCAAGTTAGCTGCCCTTGGAATAAAATGCAAGGAGGTGATAGGGGCAGGGGAGGGGAGATGGAAAGAGGGAAGAACAAAGGAGCATCTTAGTGTTAAAAGCCCTTCCTGCCCAGCCTCTGGCTGCAGCCTGGGCCGCAAGGGCTTAGAATCAGAAGCAATGGGCAGAAGTTACGGGGCAAATTTCAGTTCATTTGATCACAGCAAGGGGAAAAAAGGAAGGAAACAAGTGATTCTTGCATGTATTTTATTTCTTTGAGGCAATCGGGGTTAAATGATTTGCCCAGAGTCACACAGCCAGTAAGTGTCTGAGGCTAGATTTGAACTCAGGTCCTCCTGACTCCAGGGCCTGTGCTCTAGCCACTGTGCCACCTAGTTGCCCCGAGACAAGCAATTATTAAGTGCCTACTATATGCCCGGCATTGTGCTAAGTACATTACAAATATCTCATTTGATCCTCACAACCACCTCGGGAGGTCGATGTCTTTATGATCCCTATTTTACAGATGAGGGAACTGAGGCAAACAGGGCTAAGTGACTTGCCCAGGGTCGCACAGCTAGTAAGCATCTGAGGCCAGATTCGAACTCAGGTCTTCTGAGTTCAGCACTCTATGCACCACACACCAACAACCAAGCTTCTATAATCACAGGGCCTTGGGGGCCCCATGAATCCAATTTTCTCCTTTTCCAGAGGAAGAAACCAAAGCTCTTCTGGCCCCCATTAATGCTGGCACAACTTCCCTTGGAAATGCCCTCCAATTTAGCCCACATATACCATATTTGGTACATGATTTGTTTTATGTTTTCTCCCCCATTAGAATATGAGCTCCTTTTGGTGTCCTCAGTACTTAATGTACTATGTGTTGGCACACGGTAAGCACTTAATAAGTGCTTGCTGACCGTGGTTGAGGCAGGATTTGAATCCAGGTCCAATGACTGACTCAGTCATTGTCCAGTGCTCTGTTACTCCACCACACTGTTGCTAATGGTTAAGAGCTGTCCAGATTTGCAGTGGGCTGTCACCAGAGGTGTCGGGCCTCCAGCAGAGATCAGATGACCCCTGGGGGATATTACGGAGATCTCACCAAGGTCTGGAGAGATCCCTTGCAGGGCTGAGATCCGATGATTCTGGGAGGGATGGCACCGTCGGCTAGGTTTCAGAGACAGAGGTTCTAGGGACCTGGCGCTCGGTCCCTTCTCTGTACCCCCTCTCAGTTATCTGTGGCCTGAAGGAACAGGAGCCCAATGATTGACATGCTGAGCCCAGGAAATGAGTGGGGGAGAGAGGAATGGGTCTCTGAGGCTTGCCTGCCTACCTGCCCCACACCCTTCCTGCCCCTGGGCTGTTTTGCAGATAACTCGTCCTGCACTGTCTGCGAATACCACCAGTGGTCTCCTGATCTCAGCACTCAATGTTTTCCCCGCACCATCAAATTCTTGGCGTGGAGAGAGCCGGTGGTAATCGCTTTGCTTCTGCTGCTGGTGCTGGCCGTGGGTCTGAGCCTGGTGGCTCTGGGGCTCTTTTGCTACCACTGGGGTTCCCCAGTGGTGCAGGCCTCAGGAGGCAACCTCAGCTGCTTCGGTCTGGGCTGCCTGACCCTCGTATGCCTCAGTGTCCTCCAGTTCCCAGGCCGGCCCAGCAGGGTCAGCTGCCTGGCTCAGCAGCCCCTCTTCCACCTGCCACTCACTGGCTGCCTCAGCACTCTCTTCCTCAAATCGGCCGAGATCTTCCTGGCATCAGAGTTCCCAGGCCAGGCAGGGCGGCTTCGCAACTGGTTGCACGGGCCCCGGGCCTGGCTGCTGGTGGCTCTGCTGCTGCTCATGGAGGGGGCACTCTGCACCTGGTACCTGCTCGCTTTCCCCCAGTTCATGATGACTGACTGGCAGGCACTGCCCCGCGAGGCCCTCATGCATTGCCGGGTCCGCTCCTGGTTCAGCTTTGGCATGGTGCACACAGTTAACGTGGCGCTGGCCTTCCTCTGTTTCCTGGGCACCTTTATGGTGCAGAGCCAGGCTGGGCGATACAATCTGGCCAGGGGCATCACCTTCGCCATGCTGGTGTACTTCATCACCTGGATCTCCTTCATCCCACTCTTTGCCAATGTGCACAAGCTCTACCAGCCAGCCATGCAAATGGCCGCCATCTTGCTCTGTGCCGTTGGGATCCTAGCCACTTTCTACCTGCCCAAGTGCTACCTGCTGCTCTGGGAGTCACATCTCAACTCTCAAGAATTTTTCCAGAGCTTTCTGGAGCTGGGGCCGTGGGACAGAGGAGAAGACCAGGAAGGGAAGGCAGTCAAGAAAGAGAGCCAGTGATTTCTGAGGTCTAGGCCCTGGTTGACCCTAAGTCCACAAGGATTCTGATCTAAGACCCCATGATCCCAACCCCACAGTAACTCACTTTCAGTAAACCTAGGACTATGGCTCCAGCAGGGCTCCAACTCTACAGTGACTCTAACCTGAGATCCCCCATGGTCCCATAATGATCCTGCCTTTGTGATCCCAACCCCAATAACACAGGGTCCTGTAGTCCTGACCTCTCCATTACCTCAAACCTGGCCCCATGAAACTAGAGTGTCCCCTAATTCCAGCCTACGGTGACCACTCCCCTCCAAGTTCTGTGCAGTCTCTAAAGCTGGGGTCTATGAAGTGGTTTAAAAAAAATTTTTTTTGATAACTGTATTTCAATGCAATTGGTTTCCTTTTTAATCCTATGGATTGTTTTATGAATTTAAAGACATTCTAAGAAGGGGTCCGTGTTGCAAAATAGGAAAGAATCCCTAATGGGAAGGAAGCCAGCCTTGGCCCTCCACTAAGTCTAGCTCAGGCCAACAAGTGATCACCCCAAGCTGGACAGCTCCCGGCAAGAAGAATTGTCCTGCCCATCGAGTCATCAACTTGACTTGGCCTACTGTCAGCCCAAAGATCAATGGCTAAGTGCTAACTGCCGAGCACTAAGAGATATAAAAAAATGAAGGAGACTCTTGTCCTGCCCTCAGAAAGCTCACAATCTATTAGTAAAGGAAAGGTCAAGACACGGGCACAGAGAAATTTAATAGGATTGGATACAAGAAGTCCCAGTTTTCACAGGTTCAAGGGTGAGGAGAGGAAGAGATTACTTTTGACTGATGGGGAGAGGAGGTATTCAAATAGGGCAGGCTTCACTGAAGGCTGAGATGACACAAGAAAGTGGGGCTGAATCCAGTTTGGCTGGAGTGCAGGGCAGGGGAGAGATCTGAGGCCCCAGAGACCTAGAAGGGCCATCACAGATTATCTAGTCCAACTTCCTCATTTGACTGAAACCCAGAGAAGTTGTGACTTGCCCAAGATCACACAGCTAATACACCACAAAGGTGCAATTTGAATCCAGGTTCTTTGTTGCTAGGTTCAGCCATCTTTCCACCACATAGCTCTGGGAAGTCCACCTACAGCCAGGTTTGCTGTATATGACTTACCTCCATGAACACTGAAACTACCACCCCCAGGTCAGCTCCAGGCTCTGCTCTCTCTTTCCTCATCCCTATTGGTAGGTAGGAGCTCAGGAAAGACAGGTTCATCCTGGCATTGGCCTGAGCCAGACAGAGGCCAATTATGGATCGTCTACTCCAGGATTAGCCTGACCACCACTTCTACCATCCTTTTTCCCCTCCCCCAGAATGGGAAGGGAGGCAATTGGGAAGTGTGGAGGAAGGAGGAGACCTTAGGTAGCTCAAACCCTTTGGTTCATGAACAGAAAACCTAGGGTCAGAGAAGGGCCTACCCTAGATGTATTTCTGACCTCACACAAGCCTTAGCCCTGATTTGGGCTGATGTGAGACAGCATGGGGATAAGACAGGATTGGAATTTCTTTTTTTTTCTTTTTTTGCTTTTTGGTGAGGCAATCAGGGTTAAGTGACTTGCCCAGGGTCACACAGCTAGTAAGTGTCAAGTATCTGGAGCCAGATTTGAACTCAGGTCCTCCTGACTCCAAGGCCAGAGCTCTATCCACTGCACCACCTGGAATTTTTTTTTCTTTTTGATAAGACAGGATTGGAAACCAGCCAGTGCAGATACAGCCACAGATGCAGGAAAGGGAGCACCATGGAAAGAAGACAATAGAACAGCAACTTTCCCTGGTCAAAAGTGAGATCTGCAAAGCACCTTGTAAACCTTCAAGTGATAGGTTGGCTACTATTATTAGAGTAAACCCTTCAGCACCATGGATAGCACTATAGGCTTCGGTGATTCTGCTGACTACTAAGACCCAGTGGCTTTCCTCAACCTGGGAACAAAGGAAGCCCAGGAAGAGGTAGCAGTTTGGAAATCATCTGAACAGTTAGGTGCTGCATTGACTAGAGCACTGGGCCTGGAGTTAGGAAGACCCGAGTCCCAATGTGGCCTAAGACACTTACCAGCTGTGTGACCCTGGGCAAGTCACTTCACCCCGTTTGCCTGTTTCCTCATCTGTAAAACAAGCTGGAGAAGGAAATGACAAACCACTCCGGTATCTTTGTGTGACCCTAGGCAAATCACTTCACCCTGTTTGCCTCAGTTTCCTCATCTGTAAAACGAGCTGGAGAAGGAAATGACAAACCACTCAGGCATCTTTGCCGAGAATACCCCAAATGGGGTCACAGAGAGTCAGACATGACTGAAATGACTGAACAACAAGAACTGAGTTTGGAAAAGGTGACAGCCCAGACCCAAACAGCCTAATGGAAAAGGAAGAAAAGACAGGAGACCAAAGAATCACATAAAATTAAAAGCTTCTTTTTTTAAGTGTTTAAAATAGCATTTACACAGAAGCAGCATTTACACAGATGCAGCTATACATTAACTATACAGACACTCAGGCTTTGATACAATATCTACAGAACAGAATCCTGTGGAAGCGAGAGACACTGGACAGGAAGCGGTGCATTCCACATGAGCCAAGGCCCCTCGGGATGGGCACACCTGAGACCAGGTGAGGGTCTGGGGAAGATGCACCTGAGACCAAGTGAGGGTCTGGGGAAGGTGCACCTGAGACCAGGTGAGGGTCTGGGG